AGTGTCATGTGACAAATAGTGATGAATATATGAAGGGAAAAATAGGGCATGAGTTGCGTGTCAGCATGTGGAGGAGGTGCTGTGTGAGTGGACAGCGTGAGAAGCCTTCCCTGACCACACAACTCTAACCAGTGACTGAGGCCACAGGGACACCTGAGTGGAGGCCACTGTGGCTGCACAGTGAAGTGGACAGAGAAGGAGGGGACGTATAGGGCTGGCCAAGTGGGAAGGACTTCCTAGGCCTGTGAGATCTCAGCTTTTCTTCTGCCTGTGATGTAGCTAGCAGACCAGGGACACTCAACAAGGAGGACTGTGGTGACCAGGGAGCTGTCATAGCACTCAGCTCTTTTGGTAGAAGAAATGGATGGGAGTAACATTTTAGGGTTCTTTTAACAATACTTTTTAACACCCTGGAGCAGGAGTGCAGTAGGACGAGGTCTTCAGCAGAAAGCCGGGGACACACAGGTCTGAATTCCACTGTTGGCCAGACTGAATCTAAACTTACCTGTTAAAGTGAAGGTGGTAACTCGGCCCTGCTCATCTGGTCGCGTTAAGGTTAAGCAGGTTTGTGTGCTTGCTGACCTGCCGGCTGGGCACCACCTCATGGGCGCCCACGTCTTCCTCAGCATGGCTGTCCCATCTGGGGTGCCCTTCTCGATTTGGATTCTTTTTTTTTTTGTAATTTTTTTCCAATTTTATTTCATTTTATTTTTTATTTTTATTTTTTATTAAATCAGAAACACGTAGATCATGTATACATTAAGGCATTTATGGGGTACAATGTACTGATTTCATATAGAATTAGGAGTGCTTACATCACACTGGTTGATACATACCTCATCTCGTTTACTTAGTTATTGTGTTCAGTGCAGTCCACACTGTGGCTGCCTCAGTGGGCACGTGCCATCAATAGCTTCAGACGGAGTCTCTGCTGAATTTACCCGTCTGTAGCCCAGATGAACGCTTGTCACCGTCAGGTTTGATCAGGAGGGGAGCTTTGCTATTAACAAATGAGGCAGGCAAGAAAAGGGGCAGACCGGAAGCCCAGGGAGGGAAGGTCATGGGGTGGTGCCCTGCCCTGCCGGGGTGGCCCTGACTGCCTGGCAGGAACCGGGTCATGGTGCCACATGACCGATGGCCACAGTGCTGAGCTGTGTTGCTGCAGAGAGCCCAGGGCACCAGCTGTTGCCACAACTATTAGAAAAATCTCAGAAAAAGAATTAAATTTGGAAAATTAAATATGGTTTGGGGAGGAGGGTCTTTCCTTCCTGCTGCCTTTTGGTTGGGTCAGGAAGCCAGCAGACCTGCTTGGAGAGCTTTACCAAGAGCAGCTACCAATTATTGAGTACCTGCTGTATGCCTGACCCTTTGTATCTTGAACGTTAGAATCCTCTCTTTTAATCCTCAAAACTGCAAAGGCATTGCCCTTTGTGTTAGCCTGAATGTGTCTCCTCACCACAACCCTCATTCACATGCTGAATTCCTAACATCTCAGAGTGTGACTATACTGAGAGATAATCTCCGTAAAGAGGTAATTAAGTTATGAGGAGGTCATTTAGGTGGGCTCCAATCTATTCCGACTGATGTGGGTCATTATGAAAGTTTTGAGATGCACAAAAATCAAGAAATGTAAAATGGAAACATGAGGATGGAAATAAGTGAAGCCCTCCCAGCAACACCGATAAGCCAAGCAAGTTGAAATTTTGAACACAGACTTGTGCAAGGAAGACCCTAGGGAGACACTGAGAGAAGCTGGAGATCTGTGTGCCAATGGGAGAGGCCTCAGGGGAACCAAACCCCACTGATGCCTGGATCTCAGACTTCCAGCCTCCAGGTGTGTGAGAACATGAATTTCTGTTGTTTAAGCCACACAGTCTGTGATACTTTGCTATGCAGCCCCCCAAACTAATCCACCCTTGTACATCTGAGGAAATTAGAAGTTAGAGAGGGTATGAATCTTGCCAAAATTCTCACAGTTATGGCTAAGTAGAGTTGGGATGACGTCTTCGTGTGTCTGATCCCAGAGCTGGTGCCTGTAACTAATATGTTCTGAGTCCTGAGTGTGTCAGGCTGTGACTGCTGCTCTTCACTGTTGAAATGGCACCTGACACCCAGATTTTTGACGTGAGTCAACTGTCTCGCTAATGAGCCTGCTTTCTCCCCTGCCACCCACCGTCCCTGGGGGTCAGGTGCTGACTGACAAGTGCATGAATATCTCTAGACAGGAATGTCACAACAAGTCACCAAATTAGGGGCCAGGGAAAGCTGAGTCCCCTCTTGTTTGGGACTTTCCTTCACAGTTCTCTTCCAATGAGGTAAAGGAGACTTGCTCTTCAATGAGGTTTGCACCTACTTAGAAGAAGAGTTATGCTTGACCAGAAACGTGTACAGATGACAGATAATTACCAGTCCTGAGTATTGTACTCACACTGTTGCTATCTCTAGAAGTTTAGTGGTTCCTTACCAACCAAGAGTAAATGTTACAATCACTGGATAACTATTTAGAAATACCCAAGTCCTAATCTTACTCTCAGATGTACTCTAGGAGGTCTGGGACAGACCTGAGCACCCAGAAATCGCATATCTTTTCTTCTCAATCTTCCCTGGTGATCTTGGTATGACCTCAAGAGCAGAGAGCCTTGATGTTGTGGAATAACTCACTTCTGTCGTTATTCCTCCTAAACTGTTCTCTCGGTGGCACCTAAGTAGTATTAACATTTTAAAATGTGACTCTTCCATTTTAACTTTCATTGTTATTCATTAGGTTTCTGTAGTTTCCATGGCTCCTTAAACTTAATCCTATTCTGGGGGTGGGAGGACATGAGAAGGGGACCTCCCAGGACTTCTCAGCCACCAGAATCAGTGATTCCCGATGATGGTGACTGCTGGTCTGGTGAGCCCAGTAGGCAGGTACTGTCAGCTGCACTTTGAGCTTCCTCCCTGCAGAGGGAGCCCAAGCGCAGCTGAGCCCACGGCACCTGCACCTCGGTGTGGGAGGGTCTCAGCAAGAGCTGGTCTTCCATCTGTTGTAGGAGCCCAGGTTCAGTTCTCCTTCAGAGCTTCTTACTGCTTCCTAGTGCTTTTTTCCAGTTCTCACCCTCTAAACAAAGGATGAAGAATAATGTTTTCTTGTCAGGGAAGCAGCTAGTGATACTGAGAACTCAGAGACTTAAAGGGGGTGATCTCAGTAAAAAGGTCGGGTTTACATCTTCAGTGTATGGATGGACTATGTGTGTGTGGACTTTGTACCTGTTCAGTTTCACCAATACGATGTTCCTTGTAAAAGGAACCTCCAAATAGAGGTTTAATAAAAATAGGAAAAAATACAATGAAGTTCTAATATTTTCTTTCTGTCCTTCAGTGAGGGTCACTTGGGAGCCACTGCTTCAGAAAATGTGTTGGACGTTTAGAGGAGTTTAGAGATGCTTGTGGTGGTTTTGGCTGCAGGTACCTTTCTAATTCTAGTTGTTATCTGGAAGTTTTAGCAGAGAGTGGACTATTCCGGAAAAGGCACGCCCTGATAATCCAGGAGGAGGAAGCTTGGTGCAGGTGGCTCACAGGCAAGAGGGAGGTTCTGGAGGGTCTGCACGTGGTCAGCAAGCAGCAGGCACCTGCAGCAGGGGTGGGAGACAGTCGGGCTAGAATTTGTCACATTCATTTCAATAAGGGCTTTGAAACCAGCTCGGATCCACACAGGTCTGGACGTAATGCAGGGTGGCACATGCATGTTTGAGCCTCCAATTTACTCATCCGGGAAAGCTCTTTGAACTTCAAGTGTTATAACCCATGAATACCCATTTTTAAGTTGTTGTCTTGGTGCTTGTAATGATGATGGGGGTGAAACAGGACTGGGGTTCTCATCCAGTGGGATTCTGGATGTTGTACACCTTATGATACTTGCCTTTCAGCTTTTATATCTCTCCCCCCCTTTTTTTAACCTAACTATATATAAAAATATTTTTTAAAAAGTTGTATTAGATAACTAAAGATTTACCATAGCAGACTGGAGTGATTTATTTAGGGAAAAGATGTAGCTGCATCGTCCCATCACACTGAGCCTGGATTTCCACGTCAGACAGGTTGCTCTTGGGGAAAATATGATTTGGAGTCTTATGCTCCAGTCTTGAGGTCACGCAGAGCCTCTGCTCGGAGAAGAAAAAGAAGAGAGGCCCATGGGCCCTCTCTTCTTTGTTTATTTCCCCACAGTTAGAAAAGTGGTAAGAATTGGTAAGTTTTGCAGTATCCAAAAAAAAGCATTATTTTTATTTTTTATTTTTATTTTTTGAGACAGCGTCTCACTGTGTTGCCTGGAGTAGAGTACAGTAGAGTCATGGTAGCTCACCACAGTCTCAAACGTCTGGGCTCAAGCAGTCCTTCTGTCTCAGCCTCCCAAGTAGCTGGACTGCAGGTGTGTGCCGTCACACTTGGCTCATTTTTTTCCATTTCTGGTAGAGCCAGAGTCTCACTATGCTGCTTAGACTGGTTTTGAACTCTGAGTTCAAGCAATCGTCTCACCTCAGCCTCCAGAGCGTTAGGATTATAGGTGTGAGTCACTGTGCCTTCCCTTTCATTTTATTTTGGGGGGGGCAGTCTTGCTCTGTCACCCAGGTTGAACTTGAAATCTTGGGCTCAATTGATTCTCCTGTCTCTGTATATACCTGTAGTCCCAAGTAGCTGGGACTATAGGTATGTACTACCCCACTAATTTTTAAAAGTTAGACTTAAAGATTTTATTTTCATTTAATTTTCTCCCCAGCTTTATTGAGGTATACTTGACAGAAAGTATCCATATATATGGCACATACAAAGTTTGCAAAAATTAGGTATAAAACAGCATATATTCTTTTAATGTTAAATTTATGGAGGTCAGTATAAATTCTTGGTTAAAGCTTTTTTTTGGATAGTATTTGCATATTTAATTCTGTCATTAAAAATATTTCCAGGACTAATTAGAATTGCATGATATCCTGCATTTGACTTTTTTTGGTTTTGGTGTCCAGGTTTTCCTAGGACATTAGGACAAGCTGAAGCCCTGGACAAAATCTGTGACCTGGATCTCGTGGTTATTCTGAACATTCCATTTGAGACACTTAAAGATCGTCTCAGCCGACGCTGGATTCACCCTCCCAGTGGAAGGGTGTACAACCTGGACTTCAACCCCCCACACGTGCAGGTAAGAGCACCCACAGAGCTTTGCCAGCTGACAAGAAAAAGGCAAACCATTTCAGCTGAGAAGTGGGTGAAGCATATGGACACACTATTCAAAAAAGAGAAAATCTACATGGCCAAAAATATTTTTTTTAATGTTCACATTGAACAGTAGTTAGAGAAGGGAAATATGAGATCAGGATCGCTTTGGTGCTTTGGACTGGGCAGAGCTGAGAAGTCCTAGCAGGCCCTGTGGACAAGGGCCTGAGAGAAGCAGCACTCACTTTTGTTAGATGAAGTGTCACTGGCCTCTTTCTAGGGCAGCACAGCGATGTGCATTGAGTTAGTGTTCCGTCAGCCCACATCTGGAAGAACAGCCCATGGAAACAGGGCACTAGCAGCCAGTGGTGCTGATTCCAATGTTGTTGTAGTGGCCAAAATCCAAAAACAACCCCCCAAAAGAATGTTCAACCATAGGAGGCTGGTAAATACCTTTGAGAACATGCCTATCATCTCAGAATATAAGGTAGTCAATAAAGGGAATAAATTAGCGCTATACTCTTTTGACATGGAAATTTCCTGATGATATTGTACAATGAGAAAAGCAAACCGCTGAATGATCTCGCTTTTGTAAAATGGTAAGCACACCTCTTTGTTTTTGTCTGTGTGTTTCTGTGCTTTCTGGCTTTATGAGACCAGAAAGTGGTGGAGGCTCTGTCCGGGCTGGCCCAGGGCCCAGGCTGGGGCTGGGAGAGGGGAGGGTTAATGTGGCTGGCCAGGGCTAAAGGAATGACAAAGTTGTCTTTAAAAATAAGTCAAAGTACAACCTCGAGACAATTACCTAAAATTAATCATATGTAATGGTCTATATACAAAGATAGTTGAACAAATTCACTTAAAAGCGTTATTCTTTCTGGTAAAGAGTTTATTTATCTGATAAGGACAGATTGAACTAAGGTGTTAACTCAATCTGGTAATGCTGAAATCTGGGCACCGGGGCGGTAGTGTTACTTATTACCTACATGTGGAGAAATGACATTGTGCCTTCCTGGGTTAATCTTTATGGAAAAGATTAGGCTTGAATTCAGATAGAGTCAGTAATTAGTACAGAAAATTACTTCAAGGGACTACAAATGATTTCCTGACTCTTGGTACCATTGTGTTAGTAAAATCCTGGTGAGGCACTAGCTAGTCTCTTTTTTTCAGTCTTCTTTTAAAAATATAATTAGCAAATAGGCCAGGAGTGGTGGCTCACACCTATAATACTAGTGCTGTAGGAAGCCAAGATGGGAGCTCAGTTCAGCTCAGGAGTTGGAGACTGGTCTGAGTAAGAAGGAAATACTGTCTTTACCAAAAAATAGAAAAAATGAGCCTGTTGTGGTGTTGTGCGCCTATAGTCCCATCTATTTGGGAGGTTGCAGTGAGCTGTGATGGTGCCATTGTAGTGTAGCTAGGGTGACAGAGTGAGACTCTGTCCTCCCCCAAAAGGTTCTGCAAACACACACACACACACACACAGTACCATCTCTGTAGGTGACCACCCAAGGTACTGTGACACACTGGTCAGCATACGGAGGAGGTCACCATAAGGAACCTGGCCTCCTGGCTGACATATACATGTGGTGTATGTATGTCCATCTATGAAAATTAGGTCAACTTAAGAAGGTGGTCAGTGTAGAGAGGTGCTCAGCTGTGGACTTCTAAGCTTCATGGCTGTGAGAAGAGAGGAATGTGGGTGGATATGCTCCCTTCTCCCATCCCGTCTGCGATGGGTCAGGTCAACAGCCATGGACCACACAGGAGCTAATTATGGGGTTCACTGATAAACTGTGAGCATAAGCCACACATCCGGGGTCCTGAGCTGTCATGGAATTTTTAGTGCCTTTCCTGTTTACAGCTGGTTTCTTATTAACCATGGGGTTGCCTGTGCATTTTGGTTCTGGTCTAACCTACCTTTTGGCAGATTTATTTCTTAGGATTGTCTCTCAGTAAGAAATAGCCAGGGACGTGGGAGGCAAAATTAAAAATGTGTCTATTTTGCAATTTGTAAGGAGGTATCATTTCTGAGGAGGTTGAAGCACATTGAAAATTGGGGCTTTTTTTTTTTTTTTTCGGAGGTCACCCTTCATAGAGTGCTGTGGTGTCATAGCTCACAGCAGCTTCAAACTCTAGGGCTTAAGTGATTCTCTTGCCTCAGCCTCCTGAGTAGCTGGGACTATAGGCACCTGCCACAATGCCAGGCCCTTTTCAGAGACGGGGTCTCACTCTTGCTCATGCTGGTCTTGAACCTGTGAGCTAAGGGCAAATTTGGTTGTTTTTTTTTTTTTTAATTATAATTTTTCGATTCTCAGAGTGTCCATGATCGTCATGGATATTTGAGTCATTCTCCTATATTAGTGTTCTTCCTAAGTAAACCAGGTTGCTTCTTTGAGATATTTTATTTTCCATATTAAGAACTCAGGCTATAGAAAGCAAAGCAGTATTGGGAATATTTAGAGAGCCAAGGCGACATTGTCTAAAGTTTGTTGCTGGGGAAGTACCATGTATTAACAACACTGGAAACGTGTTTGAAAAGCTCTGAGCAGTTGACACAGACTTAACGTTGGCTCTCAGGGAATAAGGTAACACTCCGTCAGGCTGCTGTTTCTTTTCACCTGCCCTCACATCACCACCGTCAGCAAAGGTGAACCCGTAGTGTGACACAGGAAAGACTTTACCTTTGGAACCATCTGACCGTTATTCATGTTAATTGGTTTCTGGTGTTTGTAGGGGCTTGACGACCTCACTGGTGAGCCATTAGTCCAGCAGGAGGATGATAAACCAGAAGCGGTCGCTGCCCGGCTCAGGCAGTACAAGGACGTGGCCAAGCCGGTCATTGAGCTGTACCGGTGAGTATGCTTTCACGTTTCACTGCACAGGCCAGCTGCCAGGTGTGGGGCTACGGGACAGGACCTCAGGTCAGTACAGCAGTGCGTCCTGAAGCCAGACAGAAGACCCAGCACCTCTCAGACGTCAGGTGAAATGTTGGGAGATGTTCATGGCAGATAAAATTCAGTACTTTTATCCCAAAACTATCCAGGTGTTAGGGACTAAACCTCATTGCCTCTGTCTGTGGTAGATATAGAATTGCCTCTGGACTTTCATTTTCTTCTTTCAGTAGCTGAGGTGATGGTTCATATTTCGACACTCCCACACTTAAGTGCCTGATTGGGGTACAGGGTTGGAAGGGACTGTGGGTGTGCCCTTTTTTGACATGTCTGTGGGGAATTTAACAAATATAAGCTAAAATCATAAAGTAGAGTTTGAAAATTCTAATGACTATAGGGCCAGGCAGGCATTGGAAATACGGGGGGTGGAGGAAGGTGCTAAGTGGGGCAGCTGAGAGCCTCTGAGCTGACGGTCCCTTGCCTGACCCAGCTGTCACCATATCAGGGGCAGCCAGGCCCACTGCAACTACCAACTCCCATTTTTCAGGAGAAGCAAAAATCTGGCTTAAAAAGATTGGGGTGAAAAATGCCAACTTTATATTGGCAACAAATTCAAAAATTTTTTTGAGCATTTTTTTTTTTTTTTCAGTTTTTGGCTGGGTTTAGGTTTGAACTTGCCACCTCTGGCATGTGGAACCAGCGCCCTACCCCTTTGAGCCACAGGCACCGCCCTAAATTAAATTTTTTAAAACAGGATATAAGCCAAACAAAACTGTATGCTCCCTGCCTTCAAAACAGCAGTTCACAGCCTCTGCTATAATCATCTTCTAACCTTGTAGTCCCCAAATAATTTAGCAAACCATTAGATCAGAGTTTTCTTTTTTTTTTTTTTTTTT